GCAGGGATCACAGGTATGTAGCACAGACTGGCCTTGAACTCACAATGATTCTTTTGTCTCAGCCTTCCAAAGTGCAGGGATCACAGGTATGCATCATGCCAAGCCCCAAAAAGACTTTATTGAAGGAATGAATAAAAGAAAACTATAATAACAATGTGGTAGGTATTGAAGGATACACAGTTAAAGCACAAAATAATTTTTCTGAAGGACAGCACTCAATAATGCATTGAAAATTTCAATACACAAGTCAAGTTGGTTCACACCTGTACCCCTGCACTTGGGAGGCTGAGACAAAAGAATCATTGTGAGTTCAAGGCCAGTCTGTGCTACATAGTGAACTCAAGGCCAGCTTGAACTATATAGCAAGACCCTATCTCAAAAAAACAAGCGAACAAAAATTCAGTACATGAATTGCCTTGTAGGTGTGGTGGATTGCCAGCTGGAGGGCAACTTGTAACACTCAGCTGAACTGAATCAGTGCCATGCTAGGCGTGGGGGGCTCAACTGAGGATTGCTGCCAACAGCATGAAAAAGAGAATGAGAGAGGAAGAGGTGGTGCTGCTGGTTCCCCTGATATGACCTCTGCTGTTCTCATCCTGGAGGAGCTCAGATCCTCAGTGTCCCTGAAGATGATGTGCTCACTTTGGGGAGCTCTGGTCCTTGCTTGGAGCATCACTTCCCCTGGCTCCAGTGTGGACCTTCAGCCTGCCTACATAGATCCTTCATCCTGCTGGCACAGACTTTCTAGATTCTGCCACTGACCTTTGGGCCTTCCCAATATAAATCCTTGATACCTTGTTCTGGGCTCTAGGCCTCCAGGCAGGCTTGTAGGGGACAATACCATGGGCTCTAGTCTTCAGCTGGAGTTGGGCAAAACATTGCCATGCGATCAAGGTCCTCAGCTGGATTCTTTGGACCTCTAGTGTGTGGACAGACTTCTGGCACTCTTCTGACTCTCCTGCATTTGACTCTTTGGATGAATAGTATAAAATAATCCTATAAATTATGTGTCCTGTATTAAATCTATTCGCTTGCAAACCCTGACTACAACAAAAACATCCCAGTATACAAAAAAAATTTATTAAAAATTTTACAAATTTTAGAAGCTCCAGAAGGAAAAGAACGAAAAAAACTTAAATCTTTGGATTGACAGAGAACACCAAGTTATAGGCTAGGACAATAAAAAAGGACAATTCTACTAAAATTCTTATATCCATATATAAGATACTTAATCTTATTAAATAAGGTTGCAAGGATTGATTCAGCATACTGAAACTTCAAACTTCAAGTATCAGTCTTTTCATCTGCAATGCCTGAAATTGGTAAATACCAAGACTGCATTTACAGGACATAAGAGGCCCAAGAAGTCACCTCACAGCTGCACACTGATGAAATAAGGGACATTGGAAACACAGGAAAAGGCCCAACACGCTCTGTTTGGGTGGAAGATGCCCAGGGGAAAACCATCAACAAATTGAAATCAAAGCCAGAGCTTGATGTCACTCCATGGTCAAACGCTGACCTGGCATGTGGGAGGCTCTGGGCTTCATCTCAAAACTGTCCCCCAATTAAGACAAAAAAATAGGAAAAAAATATATAAAGAGTAAGACTAGGCTTTGATTCTTTATCTCTAGTTAAATCTAAGTGGATAAGGATAGCGTGCCTAAGAATGATCTTAACCAGTAAGGGAGGGCATATCTCACACACATTTCTAGCATAATTGACCTGCTCCTTCCTGACTGTTCACTGCCTCTTCACAAAGGAAGCACCACATCACATGCTTGGCCCTCTCCAGCCATGGAGCTCCACTCAGAGACCCCATTCCTTCTACTTTCACTCTACAGTAAAATTTCTCTGTAGTCCCTGGCCCCATTCTTTCACCCCTCTGGCAAAACTAATCTTGCTATCAAAGTCAGTGCTTATTTGGTTTTGCCCATTCTTGCCCCCTACTCTCACTATCTAGCCCAGTTATTCTCTTTTCTTTGATACTCATCATCATAGAACCCAGGCATTCAGACTGAGCTACATCTCCAGCCCTTTTCTTATTTTGTGACAAGCTGTCCAAGCTGCTAAACTGCCCTGGGAAAGCTTGAATTTGCAGTCTTCCTGCCTAAGCCTCCTTAGCTGCTTGGGTTACAAACAGGGGCCACTGTGGCCAGCAGGATTATTCCATCTTAAAACATCTTCTTCTCTTGCATTCATGACTCCTCACACTAGGAAGTGCTCCTCTCTGGCTTCTTTGTGTGTTCCTCTTTCTTTTGTACCAGAACCAGAGTTCAGGTGTTGCCTAGGTGATCATATTAACAGGTGGGGCCTTCAGGTGGTGACTGAGTTGTGTAGGCTCCTCCCTCACAGTTGGGATGTAGGTGCCTAGCAAGGCCAGAGTGGGGAAGTTTGTCCCCTTCTGCCCTTCACTTCCTGCCAGGTGAGGATATGGTGTTCCTCCTTCCAGAGGTCTTAGCCTTCATGTCACCACCTTGAAAGTGGAAGCTGGACCCACTATCAACATCGAACCTTCCAGCACTTTAATCATGGATTTCCCATCTTCTGGAACTCTGTGGAACATATTTTTATTCCTTATAAAATTCCAGTCTTTAATATTATGTTATAGAAATACAAAGGAGGGATCCAAGAACTAATTACTAGGGAAATGCAAATCAAAATGAAAATGAAATCTCTATCTTATACCCACTTGGATGGTCATTATTTCAAACCAAGTCAGAAAGCAAGAAGGGCAAGTGAGGATATGGAGAATTCAGTGTCCTTATGCACCAGTTGTAGTAATAATGAATAGTTTCAGCCACTATGAAAAATATTGGGGAACCCCCCAGACCCAGTCCTAGCCCAGGAAATTCTGCCGAGTTCCAGGAAT